ATTCAGAGTAAAGAGATACGGTTTAATTTAGTATATATAATTCCTCCTAGGATGAAACATGCGGTTAATTATGATACATCTTCGTTTAGCCAGTTGGTAGTTAATAGTTTAATTCCTTAAGTTCAAAGCAAGTATTAGTATTATAATTAATGTTGTTTTTAAAACAAGTAAACATAGGGAATGAAATGATCAATCCTGTGATTATATTACCATTCTGTGTCAGTGTTTTTACTTCCTTGCGAGAAGTAAAGGAAGTATTGTAATTACGAAATTACATGTCAACGAAAATATCCAATTTGATCACTCTCGAATCTATCTGAATAATGTTTTTGCGGGACATCTATACATAAGAACAGAAGAAACGACTACTTTTTTAATGCATTGTAAAAATAGATTTAAAATGGATTCAGAAGAGCAGTTTTCGTGATTTCTGTACCAAAGTATGTATGTATCTCGCATAACTCAAACGAGAAGCCGTAAAGAGTCAAAATTTAGCATATCCGGACTGCTATAAACATATACAGTGGTGGCCAAAATTGTGGACACTTTTGGAAATTTTTATGTTTTTGAACTTTGTATGCTTATAGAAAACGTTACGTTTCACAAAATGCAAACTTTTATATATCATTTTAAAGAGAATTTATTACTGAATTCAATACAAAACACAAAGTTCAATTATTTGGAATACAAAAAAAGTTAAACGATAATAGTTATCGATATACATTAGATAGTGATGATTGCAGTGAGTTATCAGTACTTAGTAGGGTACCCTTTATTTTTGATTACAGCTTCACATCGACGTTTCGTTGAGCTGACAAGAGTTTTAAGCTCTTCTTTCGTTATTGCATGCCAGGAAACAATTATAGCCTCAATTAGTTCCCTTCTATTTGATGGGCGCCTCATTCGGACAAGAGGTTTCAAACGGTGCCACAAATTTTCGATAGGATTGAGGTCAGGACTGTTTCCTGGCCATGACAACAATTTTATGCTCTTTGTACGAAACCACTCTTTCGGTATTTTGGCCGTGTGGCAAGGAGCAGAATCCTGCTGAAAACTAAACGAAGCATTGTTGGAAAAGAGATCTCTGATGGAAGGTAGAAGTTTTGGTTCTAGAATAGTGTCAATGTATTTTCTGGCATTCAGTGTCCCATCGATGACATGAAGGCGACCAATACCATCTGCTGACATGCATGACCAAATCATAACACTAACTGGGTTCTTCACAGTTGCTTGAATGCAGTCAGGATGTAGGTCTTCTCCAATTCTACGTCTTACATATTTTTGCCCATCACTACCGATTAACGATATCTTAGTTTCATCACTCCATATAACTTGTGACCACTGATCATGTGTCCAATTAATGTGTTCCTTTGCCCACTGTAATCTTTTTTTTTTTCGTTGCTGAAAATTAAGATAAGGCTTTTTTCGTCCTCTAAGTCCAACATTTGTTAATCTTCTCCTGATTGTTCTTGAACTGACGGAAACACCAGCATCATTCAGATCACTTCTGATGGCCGCTGATGACATTTTTCTATCTTGGAGACATAGTATTTTTATTCTTCTGTCATCTATAGATGTGTTGCACCTTTTTCTGCCTTTTCCTTCTTTGTTTTTTTATTGAATTTTTCTCCTGATATTGTAAACAAAACTTTCGGACTCCAGATGTAGTCACTGAACCACCCACCTGCCTTGCAATTTCAGCATAGGAAAGACCACTTTCTCGCAACACAATAATTTTTACATCTCTATCTAGGTGTCCAATCCACTCTTTTATTTGATGTCATTGCTTCTTGACTAAAAAATTTTGACAAAAATTCCTACTTGTAATTGCAGTTTACAAGAAACAGGTCCTCCTTCTACAGAACAAAGCAAAATAATGAATTGTGTCAAGTGTAAACATGATGTCAACTTCTACACTGGCATTTACTAACATTTGATTGGTTCTCAGAACAAGAACAGTGATTGGCCAGGAAAGCTAGACATTACAAACCACTTCATAACTGTGTTTTTTATTTATATTAAAGTACATATAACTTTTTTTGTATTGCAAATAATTGAATTTTGTGTTTTGTATTGAATTCAGTAATAAATTCTCTTTAAAATGATATATACAAGTTTGCATTTTGCGAAACGTAACATTTTCTATAAGCATACAAAGTTCAAAAACATAAAAAATTTCCAAAAGTGTCCACAATTTTGGCCACCACTGTATAGCTGCGCACCTCCATTTCTCGTTGAAATCAACCGCAAAGGCGTGTATACATATGTTACGGAACGTCCAGCTGCGGTAAGATAGCTTCCTCGCAAGGGGGGTTTAGAGTTGCCTGAAAATGGCAAGGGAAGGCCGGGTTGCCATATTTGGCAAGAAATCGCCAATTGGGTGACAAAATTGGCGATATGCCATGGACGGATGGAGAACATTCTGTATTATCATCACACCTGTAACCTTTAACGTGCTAATCCAGCACTACTTTATTTTAGATTTTAATTTGATTTATTCTACGTTTCTGTTTCACCGCAAGTTGACGTTGCCATTGTAAAGCACGAAGGTAGTGCCTTTTTATTAATTATTTGAATTAAATAAAGGGTTACTTTCACCTTTCTTCCGTGCTAGCAAATTATTCACCCTTGTACGAGAATTCGTCAGGTTCATTGTAGGATCTAATTTAGTTCATGTGGAATAACAGATCTTACAATTCCAAATCCACGCACCCATACGTAAGAAAATCGCAACAAAATATGTATATCAGCATCACCAGACGTATATATATATATATATTGCCACACTGTTTCCCGCTCGATTAGTTTAGAATTTATTCCGATGTGTTGGTAAATTAACAGTATCTGAAACTTCCCAGAATTTTCAGTTCGTTCTTGAATTTCAGATTTTAGCTACTTGTAAGAATTAAAATAAAGTTCATAGACGTTCATGTAAGCCAATGGTGAAAAACTCAAGTTGCATGCGAACCGAATGGGCATTTCGTAAGCATAATCGATCTGATTTGGGCTGGCCAATTTTCTTGCCTTTTCTTTTTTACTTCCTTGTATGAAGTAAAGACAATATTGTAATCGCGAACAATTTCGGGTATTATATTTCAACAGCTCTCGAAAAAATTTAAGCGGTATTTTTCGTGACATCTGCAAGTACGGACAAAATAAACAACTGTTTTCGCCAAAACGTATTGTAAAATTGATTCAGAAGAGATTTTTTCCTCGATGTCTGTACGTACGTTTGTATGTATCTCGATAATTCAAGATGGACTAGCCATAGAGCGTAAAATTTGGTATATGGGATCGGTTACAGCCGAAAACATCGCGGCAAAAACATCGCAGACGAAAACGTCGCGGAGAAAACAACGCAAGGCGAAAATGTCATGCTACAAAACATCGTGGGAGAAAACATCGCAACGAGAAAACATCGCAATCCTAAAACATCGTGGTACAAAACATCGTCGTCGAAAATAAAGCGGTTCAAAAACTTCGCAGTTTAAAAACATCGTCGTCGAAAATATCGTGGTAAAAAAATAAAGTATCTACAAATCATCGCATGACGATAACATCGCAGATATGCTTTTTTCAGACATGCTTTTCGGAGACATTCTTTAATAACTGTAAATGGATATTCCCATGATGATTTGTGAGCGCAAGATGGAAAGAAGGATAATTTTTACTTTCATATTTTTTATTAACTAATAAATTTTTGCTGAGAAAATAAGAAGGAAACTTAAGCATAGAAAATTAATGCAACTTATGGCACTTAATGGAATTTTAAACAGACATAGTTAACTAACAAAGGCCATTAATAAATAATTTTTGTAATGCTTTTACTGGTAATTTTTCATGAAGAGTATAAGCTATAAGTTGCATTTAATTATTTATGCTTAAATTTCTTTCTTACTTTTTCAGCAAAAATTTATTAGTTATTTAAAAAATGTGAAAGTAAAAATTATCCTTCTTTACATCTTGCGCTCACAAATCATTATGGGAATATCCATTTCCAATTATTAAAACCAGAAAAAAGAATGTCTGCGATGTTATCGTCATGCGATCATTTGTAGTTTTTATTTTTTACCACGATATTTTCAACGACGATATATATATAACATTCCATAATTTTAGTATTTATTTAATTTTTAAATAATCAATTTCAAAGACAAAATTTTAACATTCATTCAAACATACAATTTTGCAAGAGCATAATATTCCTTATATTATTTATTATTTCCTTATTTCATGTGCATTTTATGTTACTTAAAAACAAATTCTATTAATTTATAAACATTCACTTGCGTATATGTAACATCTAGTTTATATTTCTACCTAATAGTCGCATTTGATATTATAATATTCAAAACAATTATAATTATCGATATAAAATGTAATTAAAAATTTTTAATATTCTACATGCTGTGCTTGTTGTAAATTTATATTCAATCTTAAATACTTTCATTTTATGTAGCATATTTTATCACTCAAAATGTAGGTTATATTCACTCAAGTAATGAGTTAATAAGAGTAGCAATAAATTCAAGTAATGAGTTAATAAGAGTAGTAATAAACTCAATGATTTAATAATTGTTTAGTAATAAAAACTCGAGTAATGAGTTAATAAGTTACAATAAGTTTTATGATTTGTTAAACATGAACTCAGTCATAAAGAACATAAATAATTTAAATATGTTCCGAATCTAAGCATTGAATACAAAATATTAAAATTTGCGAAATTTACATCTCAAATACGATAGGAAAATTAACACATTTAAAACTACACTACTTCACACTAAAGAAAATGTAGTGCACATTTCTTGCGCAGTAAAGTAACTTAAAATATCTTCTTAAGAAACAGCAATCTGCAGAAACGATATATTTAAGAATATGCGAGGTCACTGTCGAAACCAGACAAGTCCATTACAAAATCAGAAGTAATTACATGCTAGGATTCGCAACAGTTAGCTCTTCTGACTAACGAGAAACGGACGTCAGCTTAAATGTTCACTTACCGTGAACGGACAACTTGACAACAGTGCTTAGATCAGCTCCAACACCATTTGCTGCTTCACAAAGATAGTGACCTCTGTCCTCTTCTGTGAGGTCCTTAATGCTCAGGGAGCCATTCTCTAAGGTCTGAATGTGGTAATTGCTGATAATGGACTTAAAGTTGCGGGTGGCTGAAGTGTCGCCTGCTTGAATGCAAAATAAAAGTACTTTTAAAAATAGTCCATAATAGTCACTAATTTTAAAGAATAAAAGTTGAAATTTATAACATAATTAGAAATATGTAAAATTTGCATTGTTTGGAATTAAAAATTTCTGAATGCACTAAAAGGCACTGAATAACCATCGCAAACTATTTTCTGTCGTAAATTTACATGAAATCAGAACAAAAGTTCATAACTAAACATACTTTTGCAAGTAAATCTTGACTTTGTATTACAATAGGTATACCCATTTTGAGATATTTAATGCACTTCAGTTACCAATGAAATCGAACCAGCTGCGGCCTTTGAAATCCGCGTTTCAGCAGAAATATTTCAGCTGCATAATTTCAAAAGTCAGTTGGTTTTTAAGATAAACTGAAAATCAATCTTTTCAAATAATAAGTTCAGATTTACCACTGCCAAAAAATACTTGTGCAAAAATCTTTCGGAAAAATATAACAGTTTTCCAATATTATTTTTTCGACACATACTATGTAGTATAGTATGTTTAGTACTATATTGTACTACACACACTATGTAGTGCAGTATGTGTCCACATAGTATGACACATACTACGTCAAATACTATGTAGTACTATATAGTACTACATTTTGGCATAATAATTACAACTACACATTTGGCAGGTCTCTGAGCATTTAGCTTATGAGGAGCTTATTTAGGAAAATGAATAATGCATTTTGATTAAAATATTTTAGCGAAAAGAAAATTTCTCTTGAGGTTATTCTCATCATTAATAAACCTGATTGTCATTCAAAGTCATTGTAAGCTAAAGATATACTATATTGGATATAAGTAGGCTTTTATATCCTAAATACTAAATGTGGTGATTTTAAACTAACTGCATTTATTAGATTAAAGAAAAATTGCAATATGATTTCAACGCCATAAATCATCAATTTTTCAAAGGAACTGTAGCTGATTAATATACTAAGCAAAAACTTTAATACAAATTGTCAATATACGTAAGCCGTTCAGTGTGTTATTTTAGTAGTGTTTCAGATCTGAGCAGGGTTCGTCAGTAGCCAAAATAAGCCATTGTTTTTTTTTTTCGACGACAATAATAAATAAATAATTGACGATGAATAAATAAATAATTGACCATAATAAAAATAAATAAATAAGTGATTGACAATTATAAATTAATACATTTCGAAGTTTCGACATTTTGATGTTTATCTTAACCAATTGTCAAGATTCTTTGAGATCGATTTTTTTTTTAATTTTGTATTTTTTTCCTCCTTTTTGCATGCCTTCGTGGTATAACGGTTAGCACACTCGGCGCGGATTCGACAGGCTGAGGTTCGAGTCCTGGCGAGGGCATTGACCATTTTTCATCTCTCCTGTTTTAAAATATCCTGATGACTCTACAGTTGCGCACAAACTAAAGGTGGTGTATGATGATTCTTCACTACCAGAATTGGACGACTAGATCCCCTAATCCCCAAATATTTTCTCCCTCCTTCCAGCATGCCTTCGTGGTGTAAAGGTTAGCACAGTCGGCGCGTATTCGAGAAGTCGAGTTTCGAGTCTCGACGCGGGCATTGCTAAATTTTTATCTTTTCTGCTTTAAAATAACCTAATGACTCTACGATAAAATAGTTAAGTAAAACCGCAAAACTTACTTTTTTAAAGATATTTAAAACACTTTAAAGTCTAAGTTTAGAAATTTTACTTCACAGTCCATTGTTTAAAGGATGCAGAAAAAGTAACAAAAAAAGAAAATAATTCTTCTGCATGCAAAGTTCATGTTTGCTTCAGAAATCCTATCTCATCGTTACTTACTTAAATATATAAACTAATAATTATAAAGAAATCTTTTGAGTTAGAAATCCATCCTTGCCAGTCATTGAACAGTTTTTTGAAATGCTGCTAAATTCAATAAATCTTCCAGAAATTCTGAAATACGTATAAAATTATATATGAATTGCTGAATATATTCAGCAATTAATTTTATGAATTCCAGTGCTTTATGAATTCCAGTGCCTTTTTCCACAATTTGTATGCAAAATGGTATCAGCAGGTGATGATACAGAAATAAGAATCACATTAAGATTACAGAAACCTATAAACATCTACATTTCATCATCAAACAAAAAATACGAATTTTTGAATCACTAACTTTGCTTTGCTGATGATCATTGCATTTTAATAGCGCAAATGAACAGATAATAGCTAAAGTATACATAATTATTGAAAATGTTGCATGAATAAATGTCTCGAAAACTTTGCATAAACAAACTGCACTGGCACTTAATTAATAGAAATATTTTGGATAAAGATAAGAGTATGGCTATACAGCATAGCGTTCAGCTCAAGATGCACTTCTTCGTTTATGTGATACAGTAAAGCAATGTAAATGGAAAACTACGTCACAATTTGGGGTTTTCTAGATATAAAAGAGGCTTTCGATAACGCTTGTTGGCCATATACAATTAAATATAAATCAATTATTCGTTGATTCCATGGACAAAGGCCGACATTTAAAGGGGAATAATTTTTCCTTTAAAATCCGCAACAATTATAAGGAGTGATCGTGTTACGTCTTCTTCGTATATTTAAAAATTTTAGACTTTATTTCCCAGAGAATAATTGAAAATATAAAAGGAATAATTAAATTTAAATAGCAGTGATAATGCTATGTATTTTTTTTCTTTTATGCTTTATTTATATCTGATTTGCACACACACACATACACTCATATACAGAGAATGAGATGCAGATGCAGATATACAGCTATATTTTGCATTTCTACTTAATGCACTGATACGTTATCTTTGAATCTTAGATATGAACACAATTATAAATGGTATAAACAATCAAGTACTCAATCAACAAAAAATATCATATGATTTTTTCGCCCTTTAAATTCATGAATCTGAAAGTCATGTAAAATATAAATATGCAAATCAGTTTGTAGAGTTCAGTGGACTCCCTTTTTTGTGAAAACTGGAATAGTACTTACACAAGAAAAGGGTTAAAAGTACCCTTTATTAACTCTTTAAAATTTACAATGCGTCATCTCGACGCTAACAAACTACGCCTCTGCTTGGACGGTAACTGAAATAACATAACGAAATTAAAAGCTTGAAAATATGAACAAGTGATTGAACTAAACTACAGGGCTCAGCTAGATCCCGTTTCTAAACCCCCTCGTCAAAACTAGTGGCAGTAAGTAAACGCGATTTAAGCCAAGTGAACCAGCAATAAGCAAAGGTTTGAACAGCAGAATTGGCGGCTCTAGCCTAACTCTCCCTCTTTCCTACTGAAACTCGGTTTTTTAACTCTTCCTTCAAAGAGGAATTTGCATTCCTTCACGCGCGCTATCAAATTTAAATTGGCATTGACAATTAGGGGAATGAAGGGTTATAGGAAACTAAAACTTTAACTTGTTAGTTAAAATAAATATAAATCCCTACAGTTGCTATATATACGTAAAGTGTGCTTAATAATCCTAATTGTGCTAGTTTATTACTTTACTAAGGATGATATATTCATATAAATAATAGACAAGCTTCCATATACAGTTGTTTGGAATCGCATTAGTTGCACTTATAAATAATATGCTATCGCGTTTTGAAAGGTAACTTACAGATCCCATTCTGTTTTCATAATTCACGGCCTTCAGATGACATTGTTTTATGATTTTCTTTTTCCGTTGCAGAAAATTTTGTCTTGACAAGTTTAATTTTATACATAGAAAATAGACGATTCTTCTATGTGAAAATGGTTTTCACTTATACAGTAAATACAGACCAAGGAAAGAGAAAAAAAAAAAAAAGAAATGAGGGGGGGGGGAAAAGCCTTTTCCTGCATTATATATGTGTGTGTGTGTGTGTATGCTTCTCTCCTGTTTAATCATGTCTTTCTCCCAAATGGTAAAAGTTTCTTATCTCTTCTTCTGCGTAATCTCTGTCCAGAAGGTCCACTTCTCATCTTCGCAAGATGAAGGGCTACTTAGAAATTCGATATGAAAGCAGTGTCACGCTTCAGTCTTCCGTAAACATGTCAGTGGTGACCTTTTGACCCCTAGCCCGTATTCTTTGTTTGCCACCAGAAAAACCTCCATTGTGTCTCGAAGTCTTGAATTATTAAAGCTTTTAGATATCACATTAGCTCGTTTATCATGTCATGCACGTTTTGTTAAAGTGGTTCTTCGCGTGCAGTTTTTTACCCCCTACCCTTCCTTCTTCTCGCAACATCCCACCTTAGATTCCATTTTCTTCGTTTTAACGGAGTGAGCTTTATCGAGCTTCAGGCGGGAAATGTGCATTATTATTACGTTGCGGTAATTTATCATCGTCTTGAGTTTTGTGGATTATTTATTGAATTTAGGTATTAAGCTAAAGTCCCTTCACAAAAGCTTCGCTAAAGCCAAGGTTTCGGAAATGGATCCAGTTAGTTTAAGTGCTTTTGAGCGTTCATGCAGCAACCCTTTAAGTGAACGGTTTTTAAATCCTACCGCTGGGATCTAGTTAATATGACGCTGCGCAGCCCTGCTTTATGGAATGATAGATGAGACAAGAAGTGCATCATACCGTTTGTATCAAAGATGAGGAAGAAGCGCTGGCTACAATCGCATAACTGCCTGCTTTTAAGCGAAAATTTAAGTTAAATTTTACTAGCTACCACACACTTTTCTTACGAGCTACTGAGATTGATTTACAGTGTATTAAATTGGATTAAGGAAGGAAAACAACTTTATGGAACGCTGCCAAATTTCAAGAAAGTAGAAAGGAACTGTGGTTAGCGGATCTGATGTTATAATAGGCACTGACGAATCTTTATGCAATGGTTACAGTTTTTTCTTTCATTTCCATATAATCTGAGTTACTAAGATGTGTTTGATAAATTCTTGCTCCGGGAGTCTGATTTTTAGATCCTGATAACAATGCTCTCATATCTAACGAACGAAAGCATTTTCGTCTTCTTAAAAGATATTTACTTTTAATAATTATTACACT